ATGGCTACGCGCAACAAAGAGTGGAAACGCCGCATGACGTAACAGTAGGAAATGAATGCATGCGCATGAGCATGTTGGTGGAATACGTCACAATGAGTAATTGATTTGGAACCCCCAAAGGTAAACAAAAAATAGTGCAGAAGTTATACTACTGTTAATGTGACATAATGTAATGCTGAATAATATTGGATTTAAGGTTCTCATGCAACTAGATATAGGTCAAAACATATAATTAAATGGTTCAAAATCAAGTACACCCTGTGTAGCATATCTCTTTGTTTACACAAGTTTTCAATGTTAATCGTGACGTCACAATAGCTACGCGCAACACAGAGTGGAAACGCCACATGACGTAACAATATGGGATACAAGCGTGCACTGCTTTGACAAACTTGAAGGTTGTTTAATTTGTTGTCAAGGTAATAGGTTTGGTAAACCAGTTAGTATTGGACCAAATATATAATCACATTTCTTCGCTTTAAAAAGCAAAAAGATCAGATCATAGAGGCATGAGATGTTTGTTATTCGAATTGGGGAGTGCTCGGCATCGTCAAAAGGGCACCTTTTGGGGAAGAGGTAAAAAAAAGAAAAAATATAAATTGATAAGCCCACATAGTTAGGCATGTCGTGGACATGGGTACCCTTCTCCTCCTGGCTTCTGATCATCACAGGGATCACAAAAACGTTCTTCAAACATAAATAAACGCTCTATAAAGGTTTTTAAAGTCCCTGGGCTTTTTGCGAACCCCTTTTGGGAACGTTGTGTGTTTACTGGGATATTAAAGCCTTCATAGCCTATCTGCACTAGTTTGGCCAGGAGGGATTAGACCTCCCTGCGTGGTCACTGGCAGGAGGTTATCTCATCAAAAGGGGACCACGGGGATCAACCACGGATACCGCGCTTAGGCATTGTTGGATGTATAGAGGGCGCAAGTAGCTACAAGTAGTGCAATCCCGCATCAAATCCTTTTCATAAAGTCGGGAAAATTATCTTCTAACGTTTGTACTTTCATACACAATAGACCTATTATCGTTTGTATCTTTGTGGCATTACTATGTATAATCATTATCTATGTGTAAATGTGTAACTTTAGTTGGAACCTTGTATGTAAATGTAAAAGTTCATTTGCAAATTTATTAAGACCTATGTTAAAATTATTTTATTAGTTTGTAGCATAAATTATGTACAATTTATCTTTATGAGAGAAGTGAATAAAAACCTATGAAAAAAAAATTAAAAAAATCTATGTATAATGTAATTAGAATTGTATTCACAAGTCATGCATTGCTATTAATACTTTATGTTTACCCCGATGGGGGGGGGGGGAGGGGAGGGGGGGGTCAATGAGTCAATAAACTTCTACAAAAACTGGTTATAGACTACTTTTTGCGAGCGAGGGAAGTGTAAAAAAAAAACAACAAACAAACAAAAGGGCAGAGTTTGATCCATTCAGAATATAAAAGCGGGGGGAGGGGGGGGGGGGCTTTTTCGGGGAAATGATTTAAGGGATCCCATCGCCCTTCCGAGATTCGCTCTGTGTGGGTTATATGAGTGTGTGTGTGTGTGTGTGAGGGGCGGCATTGAGCAACTTTCCCAATATAGAAATTTCATTAACCTCTAATATAATTATCCATTAATATTAAAAGAAGCATCACTCGATTTTCAGAACTTCAATAAGAAAAATATATAATTTTAACAAAGTTCAACCACGACTTCTAAATTCACCTTTCATCAGCTTTAATACAGCGGGATTTTGTCATGAGGAAAATCACTAGTCATTAACCCCTGAAAAACACCCAAAATTACTAGATCTTGTGCCTATATGAAATTGATATATTCATTTAAAGACCATGCATATCCGAACTGAAAAAAAAATAGATGACCAATATATCAACGGAAAGCTTATAAGCCATAGATTACAATAATATCAATTATATGCCATTTTAGAGTCTGTCAAAGGAGTATCAGCGCTCTGAAAAATCTAAATCGAAACGCTAAAGCAAAGCTTTGAAAATCGAAAGTTGTCGACCTAAAAACTTGCTATTGACTTGATGATATCATCTAATATGTGGAGTATGCATATTCACAATGACTTTGCATTAATTAAGCGCGGGCTTTATAGATGAACCGGTCGGGTCCAAGTTTCAAGTTTATTTGTTTCACATTTCACAAAAAAAAAGAATTCACATAATTGACAAATTAGAACATAATATGAAACATACTAAAAGTGTCACATTATATAATTAATTCGTGGAAAAGACGTCGAAATTAATTGTATTGAATAGAAGGTTATACAGGGTGAAATATGAGGAACCTGTTTAAAAGCTCAGCTGGTAGATTATAGGTTCCCATAAATAAAACAACATTTGATTGAAGTGGTTGTAATGGTGAAGGATGTAACGATAATAATAGGTGAGCAAGAAGGCCTTGGCATAAGATGATATACAACGTGAAACAAGCACAAATACAGCAAATAAAATTAATTTGTTACCAAAGAAATGACACGATAGTCACTTTAAATATTGAGGTCATTAAACGAGGCCATTGACCCCTGCTTAACCCGTAATTTGGAGGGGTGCGGAAAATGAGATTTTAATTTGCTTTTGTGAAATAATGAAAGGGTAAATACTTGTTGTTCCTTTATATTTTATGTCAAGTTGTATTTTCATCGGATAGATTTAAGATTTCACTTTTACATAATAGACGAACTGTAATTTATATATATATATATATATATATATATATATATATATAATATTTTCATTATATTTATTATTGTTTTAACAGTGCTTTAATAAAAAATAAAAAAGAAGAAAAAGATCAATGTTATAATTAAGTATAGGCCCTACATAAAATTGGATCTAAATGTTTTTATGTTCGATAGGAATAAGTTATCTTTCATGAAAGTTTACACTGATAAAATAAAAACTTGAAACACTGCAGCAGGGTCCATTTTCTGTTAAAACATTTTTTGATCAACAATTTGACTTGGTGTCAGAATGAACAAGTATTGTGAAATGTAGACTATAATATTTCACTTGCAAACTTCGGGGTCATCTGCAACCTGCCTGCAAGTGGTAGCCTCAGTGGAGTTTAAATCGTTCGCTGATCTCAGTATTGGTGACTATACACCACAGAACTCTTAAATACGGTGGTTTCATGGATTATTATACGAACCAGCGAACCTCCCCTCTGTTTTGTAGTCTGTAGTCACATACCCTGTATTAAAAACCGGCCTGTGATCAAAAGATGAGGAGAGCAATATAAAGCTGCTTTGACAACATATAAAATCTTTTGTGCAACATCTTTTGTGCAACAGCTCTGTATCCTAATGGGGTGTCGCTATAAATGTTAAAACTGGTCGTAATTTTGTTTCATATTTTACGTTATAATTTTTATTATTTCAGAAAAGTCAGAAAATGTTCATGGGTGGGCAGGTCCGAGGGGAAGGGGGAGGGAGGGGGGGGGGGGCAGGGGGGGGGGGGGGGGGGTGTGCGCGGATCAAACACGGACTTTCCCCTTTGGCATCTACGTTTCATGACTGAGGTCAAAATGCGAATAACAATGACGTCATACTAATATTGCATTTCTTCATCTGATAGCAAGCAATCGAGCGGTGAAGTTCGCAGATTGATAAAACAAATCAGAATCTGTGTTGCCGAGTGCAAATGTAAATCCATTTTTTAGCGATTCGGTGACGGCAATACTTCATGAGCAATTTATTTTGTGCCACAGATTCAAAATGATTTATATATAATAGAAAATATAAGTCAAACATTGACAAAGTACAACTTCGAACTCTGGCACAGGTGACCCCATGGAAACAACTGGAAAAAAAATGAGGAAAATATTACACAAAATTAAAAGATAACAGTGATTCTTATTTCGGAGGACATAAACATACCAGAAATTGCAGAATAATCCTTTGATAAAGACAAACTTAATAGAGTGAATAAAAATTAAATGAAAATATCGCTTACTATATAATCTGAGGTATTGATACCCCCCCCCTTTTTTTTTTTAAATACATGTAGTTATCACTTATGACTGGATTGAATACTAATTCTAAAAAGTCCCACCAGCCTAGAATCGCTTGTTGAGGGGGCTGGGAGGGGAATAAGGCCCCTCCTGCCCCTTCTCCTGTATACACCTATGAAAGAAAGAACCATATGCAGCATTTGTGTAAATTTGCTGACAACTAAAGGCCCCCCAAAAAGAGCTAAGAGTAATTCGTATGAGTTGTCGACAGGAACAAGGGCGAGAGGGTTCGACTCTGTAAAAATGTCAGAGGTAAACATTTTAGGCGTAAAAATGTCCAAGTTAAAAATGTTAGAGGTAAAAATGTCAGAGGTACCGTGATTTTTTTTACCCGTCTAACATGAAATTTTAGCTGACACCGCCGAGAGAGGGGAGAGGTATATTTATCGCCTATATGTATATGGTTTATGCATGTAAAGGCCTCAGCCAGAACTTTTCTTCATTATTTTTTTTTCGGTGGGGGGCAGTATTTATCATTTTCCTCCCCAATATGCATGCCTTCCTTTTTGCAATTTTACATCTTCTCTTTGAAGATGCAACTGTCAGTTCATTTCATTTCATTTCGTTTATTTCCATTTCCAACAAAATAAATAAAGTACATGGGATTGCATTGTACATAGTAAAACAATGAACTTAACAATATATTTGTAATTGGTCCACAGTGTACAACAGGCATATAAAACAGGTTGGTCATGGAGGGGGCTGCATGCTGAAAAGCTGGGCTTGTAGATTGCAGCCCCCTATAAGTTATAGTTACAAAAATAGTATATCAATAATAAAGGAACGCACAAAGTCATAAACCAAATAGACATAACACAGAAGGAGTGAAATGGACAGGGAAAGAACAAAGAAGGGAAGCATTTGGTAGTTATTGTAAATTTTCTTCCACTCTATTTTTCAGTGTTGCTCTTAAATTGGCAATGCGGAAATGCTATGATTAATAACAAAATTATCACTCTGCTAATATCTGTGTTTTGATGTGATCACCTTTCGTCGATGCCGAAAACTGCTGTAAAACGTTGCAAATTACCCTAGCTTCTCTGAGACTATAATGAATAAGGCTTCTGATAGATATGCGACTGGAATTTAAGTTTTTGTTAGGTAAGTTGTACCTTTATTTTGATGGACTATTTTGGAGTTATCTGGATAATTCTCTACCGTACGTGTTGTCTGTTTACTCGGCCTCGCCTCGCCGCTCCTGCAGGCAGGCGTTCGGCCCAAGTGCAGGCACAGCTACCGCTGCTCGGCTAGCTACGCGCGTACGCCATACGGAGCAGAGCGATCGAGAGGTACAAACTACAATGTTGTAGAGGCGAACGTCACACATCATATCAGGGGTGTTGTTCTTTTATGTGAGCAAGATAATGTTAATTGTCATACCAAATCAAGCACGGACTAGTCATTGGTTAAGAGGAATGGAAGGAGAAAAGAGAGAATGTTGCATGGCCAGATTCTATCAATTTTACATTTTTAGGTGGCTGTGCGTTTCAAAAGTAAATCTTTCCCAATTTTATGCTGACTTAAGTAACGATAATAATTAATAGTGATTAGTTTAGTGAAGCCTGTAACTTTAAGGCTGTTGGAAGGCACACGCACAGAGTTTGCGGAATTTAGCAAACTCCCTGTGCTGCGTGCTCCTTTCCAATTTCAGTGGGTATCTACATGTAGTTGGCATCATTAAAACAGGCACTTTTGCATACACTGCATGTAGATCTATTTGCATGTGCAGCATTGTGAATACTCATCAGAGAACTTTGTTTTTTATCACACACCTGCACCTGTTGTGCACAAAAAATAATCAGGACTTTTTTGTGTTTGCGATAGGGGCTGATTTTTAGGTGGCATTTTATTTTGGTCGAGTTGCCTTAGAGATTCGAGCACTCACCCTCCAGCAGCTGGCAGTATGACCAAGAAATGCACACAATGAGTTTGAAGTTGCACTTTGCCAGGATTGATGATAGATTTCTTATTTAAATTTTCATTGTTTTTTTTCCAATATCGGTGTGTTGAATTGATTGTATTTTACTGCTATTTGATGCCAATTTTGATTAAATTTTGGCTTGTTTTGTACAGTGGTGTACTGGTGTTTGAGAGTTATTAGAATCAATAGGGGTGTCCTTATTTGTTTCTATCATACACAAAGTATATTAATGCTGCTGCTAATCGGGGTTAGCTAAGAAAATTAAATCTTTAGATTTATTTTCATTGGTGAAGCCTATAGTTAACCATTTGGTCAACTCCTGTGGTGGTATATTTTAAAGTTGCTCCCTTTTTTTGTTGTTGCTTTTATTGTTGTTATTTGTTGTTGTTTGCTATTTGATTTGTTTTATTTCTTTATATATTGAGGGGGGGGGGTAATAGCCCTTAGTATGAAATTAAAAGTTGTATTTTACTCTTAATATTATCAAATGATTGAACTCACAAATTTACTTTACCACAATCAACACTGATAATGTGAAAAACCTTTATGTACTTTACAGGTATGACAAACTGATGAAAAGAAGATGAGTACTGAAAAGAAACCAAAGCCTCCCAGGCCACCTGCACCCAACCTGGCTGCAAAGAAGAGCATCAAGAAACAAGCATCGTCTGGGTTGTCCTTTAGCTTCAATGACTTGAAGGCAGTGGACAGCGATGAAGAAGACAAGAGTTTTGCTCGCTTCACGAAACCTGAACGGGACGATCCCTTGTCCGACCCGACAAAGATTAAAGAGATGAAGCCCTTGACAAATACTAACCATGACCTCAAAACCAAAGAGATGAAACCTTTGACTCATTCTAACAACGGTGCCACATCTGGAGAGTTCCGACCTTTGCAGAAGGAAGACAAAGACTCATCGTTTGAGGACATCTTTGATGCTGTCAATCGTCTCCCAAGTTCTAAGCCGATAGCCGTGTCAAAACCTGTTACAGAGCAGGTTAAAAAGGTGCAAGAGGAGGTTAAAAGAACAAGATCATCGCCTCCAAGAAGTAGTGGCAACACTGAGAACAGGGAAAGTGATGGCATAAAAAATAAACCAAAGCTCCAGAAGGGAGGGTCAGGCATTTTGAGAGTAGCAACAGAAGTCCTTGAGGAGAAAGAAAATGAATCCTACCAGTTGCCATCAGATTCACAAGAGGCCCTTGCAGATCCTCTGAGCTTCCTTGACAAAGTCATGGAAGACCAACTAGAAAGTAGCTTTGACGATGATGATAATGTCCTTGAAAAGGGTGGTCATGTGAGAAAGAGGAGACAAAGTGGGAATGGCAAGAAGAAGGTCCTTCAACAGCAGCCACGTACTAAGAGCTTGGATGCAGATATCAATCAGAGCAGTTCTAAGGTGGAGCACGAGGACTCGATGGATATCAATCCTTGCTACTTCAATGTCCCTACCCCAGCAGAGCTCAAGGATGAACCCACAAGACGACCAGACAGCATTCCCAACTCTCGATCAGGTCCAAAGTCTCAAGCCAAAGGGATATCTCTCTCTGGTCTTCTAGCCTCCCCAGACATCACAGAAGAAGACAACGACAAGCCAAGCACCAATGTCAACTCAGATGGCTTCCGAACTCCAGACATGCCTCCGGATGACACCGATTGGGTGACCATAGAAAAGAAGCCTCATGCAGGCACATCTAGCCCTCCTCCATCATCCAATCAGCTCCTGTCACCGGAAGAAGAGAACAAAACTGTCAAAGCAACTCCTCAAGGTCTCTTCCCATCCTTGCCCTTCTACACCCTCTATACCCTCACATTCCTAACCTTTCTGTACTTCATGTTCCCTCTGCCGACCTACATCACTGGCTTCCTAACCGGTCTCCTGTGTTCCTTCTACCTTGTGCTGTTCTTGATCTGGATGAACCTGCCACCGACGGACAAGTCTTTCAAGGAGACGGAGGGTTCTGGTGGGGGCCCTCCTCTTGTCATCCCAGGGCCTCGCCTGACCGCATCCAAGATCAGGTCCAAAGAACAAGAGAAAGTCACCTTGAAGGTAAGCATGCTCTGTCTTTGATCTCCTCTTTTAATATTTTATGAGTTTTTATTTTTTATTTCAATTTACGGTTTGCATTCTTTTTTTTCAGGCTAATCATTATTATGCTAGAATGGAAGTATGGCTTTGAAAATTTGTGGTATTAACAAGTAAGACATGCTCGTGTCAACATACGTTGCTCAATTTTTTACCAAAGATCTGCATGTACAAAGTTGAAAACACATTCTTGTATACTGTTGTGCCAGTGAAAATCTGAATAACACATTGCCATAGATTCTACTGTTCCAATTTTATGAGATTATATTGACACCTAAAACATTTTGTTGATCATTGCACCAGTTTATAGATTATGTGCTGTGCCAATTTTTATGAGATTATATTGACACCTAAAACAATTTGTTGATTATTGCACCAGTTTATATACTTAACAAGCCTTAAAGCAGTTTGCATGTCGCTTTTAGTCTGGACTTTATACAGGACCTTGCTGATAAATGAAAGTATTAAAATAATGTAAATCTGTAAGAAGGGGGCATGCTTGCTTTACAAAAAGAGTAGATCACCATTGATCATGCTCATGTACATGTAGTGTGTGTGTGTGTGTGTGTAATGTCATCATGATTATGCCACAGAACATCTGAGAATATGTTTTCAGACTCCTTCTTGTTTGATTCATCTGTATCCTAAGCCATATGGATTATCCTAAGCCATATATGGATTAGATTACAATTCCTTCTCACAATATGAACTTTCACAGTATTCAAGGTGGTGTACATGTAATGTACATGTACATGTAGCTGGTGTCAGATATCGTCTCGAGCAATCAGTCAAAGTCTGAAGGATGATATTGAGTTTCATCTGTTTATAGATAATGACTTGGCCATATTGTTCTCCAGTCAGGATTCAGCACCAGCTAATTAATATGTTACAATGAAATTGTGGTCTGCATCTAGAATCAATATACCTAGACAGGAGACACTAGATTTGACAAGGTTCCTTTAATATTAAATTATGCTTCAGTCATGTGCTTGTATTAATTAGACTACTGCTGAAGCTAAATTTCAAAAGAAATTTATCTAGCCAGCAATTCACCTCATAATATCAAAGTGACAAAAATGTGTTCATGTAGCTGTACTGGCATTCATTGTTATTAAAATATTTGTGCTACTGTACATGTACATTTATTAAGATGGACCATTGTACAAGTGTTTAAGTATTTAATGCCCCCCCCCCCCACTCAGTGTTATTTAGGGTATGCATATGCATGTTCCCAGCACCCCCCTTTCCTTTTCATTGAATACAAATAATTATTAAGGGGTTAAATTAACATACATAGGGCCTTTCATGATGTACATTGTTAGCTGACATTGACATTACCATTTAGACTTCTGGGCAGGACTTTGTACACCACTGCATGTGCCCTATATCCTTATCTTTAAAGTGTTGATTGTTGACAAATTGTTTGCACTTGTCTTTGATATGAAATGAACTGGAAGTCATTCACAAACTTTACAGGAGCTTATCATTGGCTTTATGTAGTCTTAAACAAGATGCTTGCTCTTAATGAATACAAATTACAAAATCCCTAATACATTGGCAAACCTTGTGTTATATAAGTTCCTTTACCATATCCTGAATCTCAAGAGTAAATAAAGATTTCTTTCATAGTGTTGAAATTATTAAACTCTGTAGTAAATTATACAAAATTTCCAATGTATAGAATTAGAAGTGACTATTTTTAAAACATACATGTACACAGTGGTACATGCACATACAAAGATACATGTTCATGTATATTACACTGTAGCACATATGATATGGCCCGGACAGTTAGACTTAAAACTTCAACAATTTCATGAACTTGTTTGTATTCTTTGCAATCATAGGCATAGGCATACTCACTAATCTTTCTTTTTTTTCCACAGCAACAATGTATGTACATTTATGGCTTTAATGTATGTATGGCTTCAACTTAAGGTTTGCAAAATGGTTTTTTTTTTCACTAAATATATTTAAAATAAGTGGTACAAATTTTACTTAAAAACATCATTGAAATGTTCCTGCCATGTTTGTTCCAGACACACCTACATGTATAATACATTTATGTACCCTGTACATACTGTATTATACAAGTAAGTAAGCCTGTTAGATGCAAAGCTAATATTTTAACAGCGATCTCCCTGGCAAACATCCTTGGCATTTGCCTTTTCATTCTCATCATTTTAACCCATTTTTTTACAAGGAACGCATGGTTTCTTCAAAATAAAAGCGAAACCAAGTTAAAACAAACATTCCCCTAGCCAGTTACCCAGTCAGATCAATATCAGAATTCCCCAGTCGCTGTTTCTAAAGACGTTTAGTTTAAAACGCAATGCGTTCAAGCGATTTTTTCGTCGGTCTTAAAAATAAACGTGTTTGAAAACACAAACATGAAACGCTGAAAAAGATGCGTTTTGTATCATGATTCTGCAGAATCACGGTCGCTAAAATTCGATTGAACGGACGGAGTTCTCAATCATGATTGTATGACGGAGCCTGTTCCGGTTTGGGCAAAAACCGCGCGCCTGCTTTTCTTGCAATTTGCGTTTACTATACCATGCTCTTTATCATGGCATGTTCCGTTATGTTATACCTTGTTTTCCTCTTTTTCTCTTTCTGTCTTTCCTTATGTTATTCTTTGTTTCTTCCTTCTATTCTTATGTTATTCTTTGTTTTTTCCTTCTATCACCTTCTCTTATGTTATTCTTTATTTTTATAATTCTATCACTTTCTCTTTCTGTCTTTCCTTATGTTATTCTTTGTTTCTTCCTTCTATTCTTATGTTAATCTTTGTTCTTTTCCTTTTATCACAGTTTCTTATGTTATTCTTTGTTTTAATCATTCTATCACTTTCTCTTTCTGTCTTTCCTTATGTTATCCTTTGTTTCTTCCTTCTATCACATTCCCTTATGTTATTCTTTGTTCTTTACCTTCACTCACAGTCTCTTATGTTATTCTTTGTTTCAATCATTCTATCACTTTCTCTTTCTGTCTTTCCTTATGTTATTCTTTGTTTCTTCCTTCTATCACCTTCTCTTATGTTATTCTTTGTTTTTATAATTCTATCACTTTCTCTTTTGTTATTCTTTGTTTCTTCCTTCTATTCTTATGTTAATCTTTGTTTTTTTTCCCTTCTATCAGCTTTTTTAATGTAATTCTTTGTTTTAAGCATTCTATCACTTTCTCTTTCTGTCTTTCCTTATGTTGTTCTTTGTTTCTTCCTTCTATTCTTATGTTATTCTTTGTTTTTTTCCTTCTATCACCTTCTCTTATGTTATTCTTTATTTTTATGATTCTATTACTTTCTCTTTCTGTCTTTCCTTATGTTATTCTTTGTTTCTTCCTTCTATTCTTATGTTAATCTTTGTTCTTTTCCTTCTATCACAGTTTCTTATGTTATTCTTTGTTTCTTCCTTCTATTCTTATGTTAATCTTTGTTTTTTTCCTTCTATCAGCTTTTTCAATGTAATTCTTTGTTTTAAGCATTCTATCACTTTCTCTTTCTGTCTTACCTTATGTTATTCTTTGTTTCTTCCTTCTATTCTTATGTTATTCTTTGTTTTTTTCCTTCTATCACCTTCTCTTATGTTATTCTTTATTTTTATGATTCTATCACTTTCTCTTACTGTCTTTCCTTATGTTATTCTTTGTTTCTTCCTTCTATTCTTATGTTAATCTTTATTCTTTTCCTTCTATCACAGTTTCTTATGTTATTCTTTATTTTAATCATTCTATCACTTTCTCTTTCTGTCTTTCCTTATGTTATTCTTTGTTTCTTCCTTCTATTCTTATGTTAATCTTTATTCTTTTCCTTCTATCACAGTTTCTTATGTTATTCTTTGTTTTAATCATTCTATCACTTTCTCTTTCTGTCTTTCCTTATGTTATTCTTTGTTTCTTCCTTCTATTCTTATGTTAATCTTTATTCTTTTCCTTCTATCACAATTTCTTATGTTATTCTTTGTTTTAATCATTCTATCACTTTCTCTTTCTGTCTTTCCTTATGTTATTCTTTGTTTCTTCCTTCTATCACCTTCTCTTATGTTATTCTTTGTTTTTTACCTAATTCACTCACAGTCTCTTATGTTATTCTTTGTTTCAATCATTCTATCACTTTCTCTTTCTGTCTTTCCTTATGTTATTTTTTGTTTCTTCCTTCCATCACCTTCTCATTCTTTGTTTTATTATTGCGATCTATGCTCAAAACAGCAGTCGACAGTCGGCCGTAAACAATTCCAAAAAGCGCGCGCCGAAGTTGACCTATACTTCCTGGGTCAAACTGCGAGTGTGATCCGCAGTGGCTGGGCTCGAAATGAGCTAGAATCAGCGTTGATGAAAAATCGCTTGAACGCTAACCGCAGTGACCTTGTTTTTTGTAACGGCGTTTTGATTTGTGATTCATGTTTGTGATTCTAGCTTCGAAAATTCGATTGAACGCACCCTAAAAGACGCTCACTCTATTAGTTTGAACACATTATCATCTCATGTACACATGTCTAGCCTGTAGGTCATTACGTGCTGTATCAAACCTTGGGAGTTTTGTGAAAAGTGGAATGCCAAAATGAATTATGTGATCATACAGAAAAATAAAGGCATAACTCAGCATGGAATTGCTTTTGAAAGGTCAAAGTTCATGTACTTGTGTGTGTACAAAGCAAATTGTTGCCGATCAAATTCATTTTTTTTTCATGTCATGGAGTGCAAATTAATGCACAGTAATTGCTGTCAGTAAGCACATGTGTACTTTTGGATTTTTTCCTCCCTGAACTATGACCTCCATTGCCACTTGGCATTTGTCTTGTATAATTACCATACATTTTTTTAACTTTGACATATTGAATGTGGTGGTGGTTATTTTACCTGACTGCTAAGAAAGCATAAATGCTTGTAATGAAGCAACCAGACGGCCAACAGCTTTAGGTCCTCTCTGAGGGACCTGGTAATGAGAATTAATGCCTTACCAA